GCTCTATCGGACCCATTACTTCCGCATGGCGCTAACCGCAGCCCTGGCACCGGCGCCGGCAGGGCCCAGGCTCCTGCCTGCTCCCTGCAGTGCTCGGGGCCCAGCGGGGCAACCGGAGCCCAGGCTCCAGCGTTGCCTCTGGCCCTGGCCAGCCCACGGCTGCTCTGGGGGCTGAGGGGGACCCAGCGCCTGGATGTCCCCATCCCACCCGGGCCACAGGAGATCCCGCCCGGCGTCATCCCCCAATGCACGGAAAGTCACTGGCGCAAGCTCCTTCCTCCGCAGCCGCCGGAGCTGGGGGGGCGGGAGGGGAAGGGAAGGGACGGATGCCCTGCGCCCGGGGCTGGGGCTGGGGCTGGGGGGAGGCACCAGCCAAACAAAGGCAGAACAATGCCCGCGTGCCGTGGCCGGCCCAGCGGAGCCGGCCCGTTAGTACAGACAGAAACCGCTTTGTGCAGAAATATGCGCCCAAGAGGTGAAAAGGAAACTTTAAAAACATCAGCTGACATCCCCGGCCCCCTGCGCCCGGCCTGGCGGGGATGGAGCTGGGGGGGGCACTGGGTCCTGGGGAGGAGGTCGGGGGGAGGAGAGGAGATGCTATTTTTAGTTGAGAGCCTAAAAGGTGATTTCCCGGCCCCTGGACCCGCGCCCGCAGGGCTGGCAGAGGCCACAGGAGCTTCCTCCAGCTGGGGAGATCTCCCCCCCCACCGCCCCCGGATTCCCGGGGCCCGATCCTGCCAGCCCCTGCCACCTCCGAGGTGTCCCAGGGGGCTCTGGGCACAGAAGTGACCAGGAAACACTCCCCTGGCTGGGCTCTGTCACGAAGCAAGAACCGGGGACCGCGGGGGCTGGCAGGCGGCACTGGTGCTCCCGAGTCCCCGGGGGCCCCAACTCTGGAGGCCCCGTCCCTGCGGCTGATCTCGGCCACGTGGGCCATTTCCAGCCAGTCCCACTCCCAGGAACCCGACCCAGCTCAGGGCCCGCCACGCCACACGGAGTCTGGCTCCACATGGGGCTCAGGGGCTAAAATCACCCCCTCGTGCACACAGATGCACATGCACACACAAGCGTGCATAGACTTTGTGCACACAGATGCACATACATGCACACAGCTACAGATGTGCACAGACCCTTGCACGCCTGGATGCACATGCACGCACGAACCTTTGCACACCTGGATGCACATGTACGCACACACATGCATACACCTACAGGTGCACACGGACCTACAGCGACATATGCCTGTGCAGGACACTTCAAGAACACAGACCTGATGCCGACAGACATGCCCAGCAGGTGCTGACTCAGCTCTGGACTTAGAGCAAAACTTGGCGGTAGAGACCTCGGAGCCACCCGCCCACCCATAGCCATGGAGGGTCCATGCTGCGGCCACCCCCACGGCACAGTCCTTCCCCTCTTGCACAGGGCATGAGAGTACTCCCTCGATGCCCTGCCCAGGCCACAGCCTCGCTGTACCCGCTCACCCTTCCTAAAGAGTGGGGAAACTCAGGCGCGGTGCAGCTAGGGGATCGGCCCGTGACCTGAGTCTCTTCCAGAGCCGGGGAGGGAACCCAGGAGTCCCAGATGCAAACCCCCAATGCAGGACCGCAACCCCTTCGATCTGGCACATCCCCATCATGCCCGGTGGCCTGGGGGCTGCTGCAAGAACAGGGCAGAGGCAGAAGCTGCGGCCCTGGGAGGCCTCCTGGCTGGGCCATGCGGACGCTGTTCCCGACCCAGGGCCCTGCCCGGCCCGCCCTAGCGACAGGGCCAGGATTTTATTTTTGTAACAAGCCCGACCACAAATTACAGCGTTGGGCACTGGGCGAACCTGCTGCGCAAGAGGCCAGGGAGAGGCAGCACCGCCTGCCAGACCTCCGCTGGGACGGAGCCCAACGGAGCCAGGACCCCAGCCAGCAGCACCCACCTCCGTCAGGTGCCTCGGGGCTGCTGACACCCTAGAGGAGCCCAGGGGACAGCCCTTGGGCACCCTGCAAATCCCCCCACAGTGAGAGCCTGGCTGCCCCGGGGCCCGGAGCCATGGCCAAGCGTCCTGCAGCCGGGCGCTTCCTGCCTTTGTGGCCCAGCAGCGTGGTGTGAGCGCACTTCCTCGGCCCCCACCCGCATCCCGGAGGCCTTTTCTTTAAGGACCGGTTATTGTTAGCAGCCCTTTGAAGGCAGGAGAGCGACCTGGGCGGAGACGCCGGGCGGGCCCCGACTTTGCACCCGGCTGGCCTGGCAGGGTGCTGGGTCCCTGCAGGATCAGGGCTGCAGCTGTGGCACCAGGCCCATGCAAGCAGTTGCTCCATGGCATGGCCCTGGGGGACGAGAATAGTAAGGGGCCAACATGGCCTGAAAGGCCCCAGCAAAGCTCCTCTGAAACCTCCTGCAGGCAGGTCCACAGGATGGGGTCTCCCCCGTGCACCAGGTCCCAGGGGTAAGGCGTGGGGAGGGCAGCCCCATGCCCCCCCAAGCAGTGCCACGGGCACGTCTCTTGTGTGGAAGGGTCCTAGGCTGGTTTGGCAGCTGCCCTGAAGGATGGTGTGGGGTGCCAACTTGTGGGCCCCTCCAGCCAAGATGCCCAGCACACCAAGCTTCTCGCTCTGGGCCCCGGGAGGAGCTACCGGCCCGTGGGCCAGGGTCAATTTGGGGCCAAGCACCAACACAGCTCCTGGAACGGCCCTGCCTGGAACGCCGCCCCGTCATGTCGGGGAGCAAAAGGACAGTGCAGCCCTGGGCTGAGCTTGGGCAGGGTCAGCCCTGCAGCCAGCCTGGCCCCTGCTCCAGGCGCCCAGGAACTGCGCTGCAGCAGGCGCTCAATTGCTAAGCGTGCCCAATAATTACGCACGCTCCCTCCCCACCCAACCTGACCAGGAGAGCGGGGATGCGGCAGTAGATCAGACAAGGAGCAGAAGGCCCCTCAGCCTGCGTGGGGTGCAGGGAAGCTGCCCACAGCTGCAGCCTCAGGGCTGGGGGCTCCCTGCAGGCCTGCTGGCCCACCCCCCCAGGCAGGACTGTGATCCCACAGCTGCTCCCGCCAAGTCAAGGGCTCGGCCCTGCTGCACCCAGGCCGGAGGTGGCCGCAGCTCCGGGTGCCACATGCAGAGGCCCTTCCTGGCTTCCCAGCCCCATCCAGCAGGTGCGGGGGCCAGAGGGGCACGCGGGGAGGCAGCAGGTTTGAGGTCCTGGTGCTCAGAAAGCCGTAACCCCCCAGCAGAGATGGTCGTGCGGGCAGGACCCGAGCTGGCCTGGCTGGGAAGTGAAAGTGCAGAAGCGCCTGGGGACAGGGGCTGCCGATAATAAGCAAAGGCTGGGACTGCAGCAGGTTGATAAGGCAAGCCGAAGAACACAAGGAGATGCCTCTCGCCTGGAAAGTCAAACACCTGGGGGGCGGCTTTTCAGTACAGGGGGGCCAAGGGAAACCCCAGAGTGCTGCAGTCAGTCCATGGGGGATTCCTGCCTGGCCTGGCGCCAGCAGCCACAGCCCATGTATCACAGGGGCCTTCCCCACGGCAGCTCAGCCAAAGCTGGAGCCCACTGAGCAGCCGGTGCCGCAGCGCCGAGCGCACTATCAACAGCCTGCCCGCCACCAGGGACCTGCCAGTGCCAGATGCCGCACTGCCGGGGCCACGGGGGAGAGCGGTGGTCATGGTGCAGAGCGGCCCGGGCAGCTGGTCAGCGGTGCCGGCACGAGGGACTGGACAGGGCCAGGCGCTGGGGCAGGGGCTCGAGGCTGCCATGCACAAGCAGAGCCCCCCAGGTCCCGTCCGTCTGCCTTGTGCAAGCCGGGCTCTGAGCCAGTTGCATCTCGAACTCAAGCCTGGGGGGACACCCCATCTGCACACACTGCAGATGCTGCGGGGCCAAGCCGAGCTGAGCAGATGCAAAGCACCTTATAAATAGGCGGGGGCTTCCTGCCCGGGCTGTGGCGCTCAGCTGGGGGGAAACCGAGGCACCGAACACCTGAGGCACTGGTACCAGAGCTTGGGATTCAGGCAATGTCTCAGAGGAGCACCCAGGAGTGTGACCCCGACTTCCCTGCTCCAGGCATTAGGTCACGCTTCCCTGCAGGAGCTGGGGACAGAACCCCCCCGATGTGCTTCCAGCCACCGGTGCCATGTCCCTGCCCCCCACCCTGGCCAGGGCTGCTACTGCCCGGGGCTCCCCCGGGACAGGGTGGGAGACACCAGGGCCGGGCACCTCCCTGCTGCTCCTGCTCCTGGCCTGGCCAGGAGTCAGCGGGGTCGGGGCAGAGGCTGCTCTGTCATTTCCTCCGACGTCAGCTTCCGTTCCCGGGCGCTAGGAAGACCCAGGGTCTCGCTGCCAAAACGCCGTCCCCAACGGGCCCTCGCCCGGCACTGTGATCCACAGGCCCAGCGAGGGGTGGGGGAGGCAGGCCCGAGCTCTAGTGCCCAGGGTGCACGTGCCCAACACCCGCCTGCGCCTCCGTGGCACGGGAGCCGGGAACGGCTGGGAAGCGCAGGCCGGACGTCCTGGCTGTGGGGCCCAGAGGCTGCAAACAAAGCCGGGCACAGCTGGACCCCGCGGGGGCCGCTCAGGGGAGAGGAGGGGCAGCAGGGCTAGAGCCAGACCCTGCCTCTTCACCGTGGGCTAATTGCACTAACGAGAGCTATGGGCCCGATCCTCAGCCGCAGGGATGCTGCCTGATCTTCCCTGCCACTGCACTCGCTGTCCCCGCGCTGCAGCCCGTCCCCATGCGACGGTCACTCCTCACACCGGCCACCCCCTTGGCCCACGAAAACACGGGCACCCGGAGTGCTGGCTGATCAAGGAATATGCCCAAGAACATACAATGGGCGGTGTCAGAGGCAACTGAGTGCCCCCAGGTCCTATCCGCTGTTGGCTGCAGGGACCCGTGAGGGGTCTCAAGTGGGTGCACGGGTGAACCCAGGACGTGGGGCTGGAGGCCAGCGCTACCCACCCGGGACACGGGCCAGCCCCAGCAACACACACGCCAACGCAGGGGGTCCAAGTGCCCACGGCCAGCTGGGACCCGTGGGGCTTGCATGCGCAGTCTCCAGCTTCCTGCCACCCCAACAGCGCTGGGCAAGCGGAACGTGTGACACGGCGGTTTCCACCGCCAGAAAAACCCCGACACAAAACCCCCAGCGCAGGCGGGAACTCGGAACAGGCGTGATGTGCCCATGGGGGCAAACCCCACGCCTGGGGCAGCAGCAGGGCCGCCGCTCGGTCCCGTCCTGGTCTCTCCCGAGCAGGGCGGCTCCAGGGCAGACCCCGAGGGTGCCTCTCCTGCTGCCCCCAGCCAGAGCCCGGGATCTCCATGCCGGGCGACCACCACCCCGGTGGGTCCGGGCAGCAAATGCCCCGAGCCGGGGGGAGTCGGGACCCGGAGGCGCCGTCGGGGGGGAGTAACAAGCGCCGGGGAGACGCGAGCCCCGGCGGGGAGGACACCGGGCGCCCCGGGCACGGGACCGGCGCCGTCCGCTCGCGCGCAGCGGAGCTCCGGGAGGGAAGTCGCGGAGCCCCCGGGCACCGCCCCCCGCCGGCCCCGACGGGAC